ACGTGTATTTATAGTAAACAATCTTGGGAAATTCTAGTAAACTAACATCTGATTGACACAAGTAACTGCGGTATCGCTAAAATGTCCAAAGGTAATACATGTTTATAATTTATGAGTACAAAAAAATGTCTGTAAATAAAGAGATTACATGATTGAGATGCTTCTGTCTGCTTTTGTTATCACTGTTATTTTTTTTACATTATATTTTTTAGGATCATTGTCAATAATTGTAGCAAACGTTAATTAGAAAACCGGCCCAAACTATTAATAGATGCAGTAAACCAATAATCCAGGCCCACCAGAACCAATGCACCACACCCCTCCTGTATGCTCGTTATTAGGAGTTCTGTTTTCACTTGTCTGAACTGCTTCGACTAACATTCCCTTTACCGTTTTGCAGATTCTGTCCACGCACTCCCAGATAGTAATCATGCTACAAACCCTCTGCATCCCTCTACATTTCCAAACCTCACTGTCCTGTTACTGCTGCCAACTCTGCGTATCCTAGCTTTTTCCTTTCATACACCTCCTCCACTCAGCCCTCCCAGCCACTGTCAGTTTTATGGAGTAAACTCTCTGCTGACTGATCGACCATAAAACTACGTCAGGCCTCAGGTTAGTGCTCAATAATGGTATTGCAGAACCACCATCTTCCAGTTGCCTTGCCTGCTTGTGCCAAAGTCTGATGACACCCCGAGGTTTTGTTCAGACTTTCGTAAAGTGAACAACGTGACAAAGCCTGATTCATTTCAACTTTCTCGAACAGAGGACTGCATTGACCAAGTAGAGTCAGCTAAGTTTGACCTGCTGAAGGGATACTGGCAGGTCCCATTATCAAAGAGAGCACAAGAGATAGCTGCATTTGTTACTCCCACTGGTTTGTATTCATATCCTGTGATGCTCATTGGTTTGTGGAATGCACCAGCGACCTTTCAACACCTGAAGAACATGGTGGTTGGAGATCTGGAAGGTTGTTCAGTGTATATGGATGATGTGGTAATTTATTCTGATGATTGGGATGGACATATTGTTTGTATTGGGAAGTTGTTTGACCGCTTGGCTAACACACAATTAACTATTAATTTGGCCAAGTGTGAGATTACAAAGGCCACAGTAACATATTTGGGCTGTGTGAGTGGGACAAGGCAGAGTTTTTCCAGTGCTGGCAAAGATGCAAGCTATGGAGGAACATGTCCTGCCTTCAACTAAAAAAGCACCTTTGCGTTTATTGGGACTTGTCGGCTGTGACAGGTGTTTTTGTATAAATGTTTCGACTGTTGTTGCACCCCTCACAAACCTGCTGAAGGCAAAGGTCAAGCATGTTTGGTCATCAGAGTGTCAGGAGGCTTTTTAAGCTGTGAAGGCCCTTATTTGTAATTCCCCTGCTTTGGCTGCTCCACAGTGGGACAGACCTTTTAAACTGGAGGTGGATGCAAGTCATGTTGGAGCAGGAGCTGTGCCGTTACAGTCAGACGACTTGGGAGTAGATACGCCAGTTTGTTTCTTTTCAAAGACATTCAACAAACATCAACTGAATTATTCTGTCACTGAAATAGAAACACTCGCTTTGATTTTGGCTTTGCACCCATTGACCTTTCTCAGCTCCTTGCACTCTCCCAACCAGAGGCTGGTTTGTTGGGCCTTATTTCTCCAGTCTTACTGCCTGAACATCCAACACATCAAGGGACAAGACAATGTTGTGGCAGACACATTGTCTCGGTATCATTGATGAGGTTTGTATGGCTTTTTTGGACTCTCTGCTGTGTTCCATCTCCTTAGGTCTTCATCTTTCCTCCAAAATTAGCTTCGAGGATCCAGTTGCTGATAATGGATAGAGGTTTAAAGGGGGCTGTTTAAGACACCAGTAGTGAGATTTTTTTCTTATATTACATTTTGACATTTATTTTGTTGATCAAGGACTTGGGTGAAGCTACAAATATGTCCCTGGTTGTATAAGCTGACCTGCCGAGCCTCTCTCTTGTCTTACATCCAGCTGCCCTTGCGCTTGTTCTTTGTTTTAGTTGTTTGTTAATCAGTGGTCCTCTGTGTGCATCTCCTCCTTTGTTGCAGCCGAACAGCCAGTCGTAACACTGCATTGAAAATAAAAAGAAAGCAGCTCGCACAAGTGATAGTGTCATGAGTAAAGTGAAACTAGGATTATGTAAAACATTTATAGTGTTCTATAAACCAGACAATATAATATAATTACACCACCACTAAATGTAAAACAAAGTTTCCGTCTCATACTCATTTACCCACAGAGTTCACAGAAGACACTGTAACTTCACTTCTTGAAAAATGAATCATGACTTCCTCTTCACTGTGTCTCTCTGGATGACACAAAATGACAATATAAGACTGACGTTGTGTTAGCTGGGACACAAAACATGCATGCTCTGAAATACAGACACTTTTGAAACTTGGCATACCGTAATTTCCAGACTATTGAGCGCACCTGAATATAACCTGAACCCACTAACTGTAAAAAGAAAACAAATTTAATACATACAGGCCGCACTTGTCTATAAGCTGCAGGTGTCCACGTTGTAACAGGGGATCTTTACACAGAAAGATTTTTTAACTTTAAATAAATACGTACTGGTAACATACGCAAATACATACCGTAAATGCTTTCTTTCCGAACAGTGCCTGTAACACGGTTGGTTAAAAAAATAATAAATACAGTAGCTTACCAGGAAAAGTCATTGATTGCTATCTTCCATGAGGTGTCATAGATTTATTCACAGGAAACTGGCCTTTTTTCATGACATGAAACACAGCAGGTTCTCTGAGGAAGCACAACAGCTCTGTTACCAGAGACAATTTCGCTGTCTTCTGTGACTCCTCTGTACATATTGTGCCAAATCTTTTACCTCCAGCTTCCACCTTCCCTAGTTCTAGCTTTTTAGTGGAAAGGTACAATGTTCTTTATTAGCAGGCATTTCCAAAATTCAACTGCAAAACAGTAAATCAGCTGACACTTCTAACTAATTCAATTTCATTCAATTTCATTTAATTTTGCCATTCAGGAGTTGCTTTGTGTTATCCATATTGCTGTGAAGTGAAACTGCCAAAAATTGTGTCTGGGACAACGGCACTAAAGAAGTAGCTGCAATAAATAGGAGTTGAAAAAGGTCAAGGTTCTGCTGCCACACCTGTGCCGAGAAACACTCAGGACACTGACCCACATAAAGCCATTGGGGGAGGTGACACTACATATAAAAACATTCGACAGAGCATCATCTGTTCACTTTTCTATTTATCACCTTTTGTTCACCTCTCAGGTAAGTTCGGCAACTTTACCTTTGATTCTTTTGACATTTAAATATTCTAAGTGACAGGTTACAAATTTGCAAATTCACTTAAAATGTCCTGCCTTATTGTTCACTGATGTTTGATGCTCTAGAGCTTGACTTCAGACCAGTGATGGCAGCAGCAGACTCGTCCAGAAGCAGAGGAGTGGCTGCTTACAGAACCACCAAAGGCCTGATCTTCATCTGTACTCTGCTGTGTCTGATGTGCTTCACAGAGTCACGGATCAGCAAGGACCAACTGGTAAATGACTGGTTGTTTCAACTTCCTCTATACAGGGTTCCTACGCATTTGAAATTTCAAAATTCCATACATTGTCCATACTCTAATTTCCAGACTTCTCGGTAAAAAAAAATATTTTTTTTAATAGTTCACTAAGTTCACTTGATGTTGTCGGACTTGGTCTCATGCTGGGTTTAGCCAAAAACGCTGTGACTCTCAGTGCAGAGGATGCGGTGACAAGACAAAGTGTTTTTTCCCTGCATATGACTCACAACCGCCGCCTCCCCCATGTTGGAGATGTCAAACAATTTCACACAAAGTCTGCATTTAGCTTTCTTTATCCATTCGGGATCCTTATCCAACCAGTCTTTATATTTGGGATTTATGAGCCGTCAGAGAATTTACATTTACCCATTATGAGTTCTGTCAACGACCATACAAGACATTTTGAATCGCTCACTCACAAACTTCGTGGACATCACCTGCCTGTCGAAGCAGCAGTGAAACTTGACGACACCTGGGCGGGCCAATGGGTTGGAAGAGGATAAGAGCAGAGGGCGGGCATTCAATTTGTCAACCGCGTAGCCATGGATCTATTATATGAACGCGTACCCTACCGTGTGCTCTCACACAAACATTTTAGCTGAGCTGCTAAAGGCCTTCAAAACAGATCGATCCATTTCTTTTTTTTTTTAGATATTCATAATTTTATGTTTTAGAAAATAGAAAAGTGGTAATAGTCTTGGAAACATGAATATTTTTTCATACAATAGTTTCTATTTTCCATACTTTTCCAGACCTGGAAATGTATGAAATAAAATTCCATACTTTTCATATTTTCCATACTTGCGTAGGAACCCTGTCTATGTTAAAAATAATAATAAATTTAAAAATTATTTTTATTTCAGTGGCTAATTTGAGATAACTGAAATGACTTTTACAGGAAGTGTTCCAGAAGACATTACTGTATCTGGAGAAACTGAAGGTCAGTGTAAATGTTCCTTCTATACTTAGAAAACAGAGCCTTTGACAGGATGATACAAGTAAATTAAATGGTGGATTTCAGCTGATGTCATATCATCTAACATCATAGTAAACTGAGTTTGTAGCATGTCATACAGCTGTTTTGTTTTTCCCCATTAGGCTAAGCATACGACAGATTCGGCCATGGTTTCAGAGATGATGGATGAATACACAACTCTCATGGACCAAATGATCCCTCTGGTCAAGGCAACTCAGAAATTTATGCCTCCTGACTTTCCTCCAATGGACACATTCGTGGAGAGCCTCGTTGCTTATGTAAAGAAAAACTTGGCTCGAGTAGACAATGACGAGTTTGAAGAAACAATGCAGAAAGTGGCAATGCTTCAGAAAATCATTAAATCCTTCCAGGAGCAGCAAGCTGAACTGTGACTCTAGTTAACACCTCTGTCTCTGTTGTATCGGTTCAGTTCCTCGTTCCTTTTGTCCAGCGTCTGGTCTCTCAAACTAAATGTTCTTTTGTTGATGATTTCACACGTAGATAATAATGTCATGTTCAGTCTACATTCCTAC